ATCCCCCCCCGCTCCGTACCGGGTTTTTCGGCCGCCATGGCCGGGCCGAGCCGGGACCGGGACCCCCAAAACCCGGCCTGGATCCGCTGGATCGGGATCGACCCCAAAAACCCGGCCTGGATTCCTGGATTGAAACCCCCAAAACCCGGCCTGGATCCGCTGGATCGGGATCAACCCCAAAAACCCGGCCTGGATTGGATCAGGATCAACCCCAAATTCTGGCCTGGATTGTCTGGATCGGGACCCCCAAAAATCTGGTCTGGATTGGATCAGGATCAACCCTGAAACCCGGACTGGATTCCCTGGATTGAGACCCCCCCAAAACCCAGCCCGGATTGGATCAGGATCAACCCCAAATCCTGGTCTGGATTCCCTGGATTGGACCGGGATCAACCCTAAAACCCGGCCTGGATTCCTGGATTGGGACCCCCAAAACCTGGTCTGGATTGGATCAGGATCGACCCCAAATCCTGGCCTGGATTCCCAGGATTGGAGCTGGGATCAAACCCAAAACCTGACCTGGATTGGATCAGGATCGACCCCAAATCCTGGCCTGGATTCCCTGGACTGGAGGTGGGATCAACCCCAAAAACCTGACCTGGATCTGCTGGATTGGGTTCCCCTAATCCTGGCTCGGATTTCCTGGATTTTAACTGGGATCAACCCCCAAATCCTGGTCTGGATTCCCTGGATTGGGACCCGAAATCCTGGTCTGGACTGGATCGGGATCAACCCCAAATCCCGGCCTGGACTGGATCGGGATCAACCCCAAATCCCGGCCTGGATGCCTTAAATTCTGACCTGGAATCAACCCCAAATCCCAGCCCCAATTCCACAAATTCTGACCCAGAATTCCCCTCCCAGATCTCCCCAAATTCCCACCCCAATTCCTCACCTGGACCCCCAATTCCTCACCTGGATCCCAAAATTCTCACCTGGACCCCAAAATCCTCACCTGAACCCCCCAAATTTCACCTGAATCCCCAGATTCTCACCTGGAGCCCCCAAACCTTACATGGACCCCCCAAATCCTCACCTGGACCCCAAAATCCTCATCTGGACCCCCAAATGCTCACCTGGACCCCAAAATCCTCATCTGGACCCCAAAATCTTCACCTGGACCCCAAAATCCTCATCTGGACCCCCAAATGCTCACCTGGACCCCAAAATCCTCATCTGGACCCCCCAAATGCTCACCTGGGTCCCCCAAATTTCACCTGAATCCCCAAATCCTCACCTGCATCCCCAAAATTCTCACCTGGACCCCCAAATGCTCACCTGGACCCCCCAAATCCTCACCTGGACCCCCCAAATCCTCACCTGGACCCCAAAATCTTCACCTGGACCCCCCAAAATCTTCACCTGGACCCCCAAATCCCCAGTTGGATCCCCAAATTCTCACCTGAACCCCCAAATTTTCACCCCAAACCCCAACCCCAAACCCTTTTCACCCCCCTCCCCAAACCCGCCCCTTCCCACCCCAAAAACCCCAACCTCAGCGGGGTAGGAACGAGATGCAAATTTATTCCGAATAAGTGGGCGTGGCTCAGCCCAGGCTCCGCCCCCGCAGCAGCGCCGCCAGGCGGTCGAAGGCGGCGCGGATGGCGCTGCCCAGGTGCGCGGCGCGGGTGTGGCTGCAGCAGGTGAAGGCGGTGACGGCCACGCGCAGCCCCGCCCCCCCGCCGGGGGAGGGGTCCCGGGGGTCGCCGGGGGGCGGGGCCACGTGCCCCACCCCCACCCCGTACCCGTCGGGCACCAGGGGACCCCGGAGCGGCCAGGAGCCCTCGCGGGAGCGCACCTGGGGGGGGTTGGGGGATTTTTGGGTTTATTTTTTAATTCTGGGGGGGTTTGGGGATTTTTTGGGGGATTTTGGGGATTTTTGGGGATTTTTTGGGGGATTCTGGGGATTTTTCCAAAGGGGTGATTTTAGGAGTTTATGGGATATTTTGGAGATTTTTTTTTAATTTTGGGGGGATTTTGGGGATTTTATTTTATTGTGGGGGATCGGGAAAAATTTTTTGGACGATTTTTGGGGATTTTGGATGGATTTGGGTTGGTTGGGGGGGGGGATTTAGGTTCCCAGATGGATTTTTGGCTCCCCCAGGTGAATTTTGGGCTCCTCCAGGTGATTCTTTTTACCCCCCAGGTGCACTTCAGGCACCCCCAGGTGATTTTTTCTCTCTCCCAGGTGAAATTTTGGCTCCCCCAGGTGCATTTTTGCCACCCCCAGGTGATTCTTGGGGTCCCCAGGTGTATTCCTGTCCCCCCAGGTGATTTTTTTACCCCACCCAGGTGTATTTTTGTCCCCCCAGGTGTATTCCTGTCCCCCAGGTGGTTTTTGGGCTCCCCCAGGTGTATTTTTGGTCCCCCAGGTGTATTCCTGTCCCCCAGGTGCGCTCCGGGCTCACCTGCAGGGTGCACAGCCGGAAGTGCGTGGCCTGGGCGTAGGCGGGGTCCAGGAAGATTTCGGGGAGGGGCTCCCCGGCCTCCAGCGCCGCCTCCCGCAGCCCCTGCAGGTGACGCTCCGCCCCCTGGCCTGACAACACCTGGGCAGGTGAGGGGTCACCTGTGAGGCCACGCCCACTCACCTGGGCACAGCCACAGCCCCGCCCCCGCAGCCCCTGCAGGTGACGCTCCGCCCCCTGGCCTGACAACACCTGCCCAGGTGAGGGGTTACCTGTGACACCACGCCCACTCACCTGGGCACACCTGGAAACCTGCTAAACCCCGCCCCTGCAGGTGATGCTCCGCCCCCTGGCCCGAGAGCACCTGGGCAGGTGAGGGGTTACCTGTGAGACCACGCCCACACACCTGGGCACACACCTGGGCACACCCAGAGCCACACCCACACACCTGAGCAGACACCTGAGCAAACCTGGGCTCACCTGAACACACTCAGAGCCACACCCACACACCTGGGCACACCCAGAGCCCCGCCCACTCCCCGGGACACTCACCTGGGCACACCTGGGCAGGCCCGGCCCCGCCCCCCGTGCCCACCTGCCCCGCTCACCTCGCGGGTGCGGCTCTCGTGCTCCTCCACGGCCGCGCGCAGCAGCGCCAGCAGCTCCTGGGGCTGGGACACACCTGGCTCACACCTGGCACACCTGGGGCACGCCTGGGTGCACCCGGGTGTACCTGGGTGTACCTGGGCACACCTGGGCACACCTGGCTCACACCTGGGCACACCTGGGGCACACCTGGGGCACGCCTGGGTGCACCTGGCTCACACCTGGGTGTACCTGGCTCACACCTGGGTGCACCTGGGTGTACCTGGGTGCACCTGGCTCACACCTGGGCACACCTGGGGCATGCCTGGGCACACCTGGGCACACCTGGCTCACACCTGGGCACACCTGAGCGGTGCCACACCCTCACCTGTGCCCACCCAAGCCCCGCCCCCCACCCGGGCACACCTGTATCACACCTGTGCACACCTGCACACACCTGTGCACACCTGTGTCACACCTGTGTCACACCTGTGCACACCTGTGTCACACCTGTGTCACACCTGCACACACCTGTGTCACACCTGTGTCACACCTGTGCACACCTGCACACACCTGCACACACCTGCGCACACCTGTGCCCCGTGCCCGCTCACCTGCGCCTCGGGCTCCTCGAGGGCGCGCGCCAGCGCCAGGCAGGGCGGCCCAGGTGGGCGCAGCAGGTCGGTGCAGCCAGGGAGGGCCCGGCGCAGCGACAGCGGCTCGCAGGTGGCGCAGAGGGAGCCGTGGGCCCTGCGGGGCAGGGGAGCTCACCTGGGGCCAGGTGTGACCCGCACACCTGGGCAGCCTCACCTGGGGCCAGGTGTGCATGGACACACACACCTGAGGGGGCAGGGGAGCTCACCTGGGGCCAGGTGTGACCCGCACACCTGGGCAGCCTCACCTGGGGCCAGGTGTGCATGGACACACACACCTGAGGGGGCAGGGGAGCTCACCTGGGGCCAGGTGTGACCCGCACACCTGGGCAGCCTCACCTGGGCCCAGGTGTGTGACCCGAATACCTGGACAGACTCACCTGGGAGAACAGGTGAGCTCACCTGGGGCCAGGTGTGTGAGCTGAACACCTGGGCAGCCTCACCTGGGAGAACAGGTGAGCTCACCTGGGCTCAGGTGTGCATGGCTGGACTCACCTGGGCTCAGGTGTGCGCCCTGCAGGGCCCAGGTGAGTTCCCAGCCCCCTCCCCTGTTCCTCAGGTGAGTTCCCAGCCCCTTCCCTGGCCCAGATGTGGCCCACCCCGCCCCCCGAAGCCCCGCCCACCTGCAGGGTCTTGTCCCACCAGCGATTGGCGCTGTTGGCGTTGGCCCCGCCCCCGTGCAGCACCTGGGCGGCCACGCCCTCGAGGCCACGCCCCCCGGGCGGGGCCAGCACGGGCGAGTCCAGGCTCAGCACCAGGAGGCTCCGCTGGATCCGCCCCAGGGAGGCGCGGCTCAGCCGGTCTGGGGGCGGGGCTTGGCTCGGACACGCCCACTCTGCCCAGGTGAGCTCACCTGGGCCGGGCGGGGACACGCCCACCCCCGGATTTGGGGGTTTCCCAACCAAAAATGCGAGGCCACGCCCCCGCAGAGGGATTTTCCCGCCAAAAATCTTCCCTCCAAAATGAGGCCACGCCCCCCCAAAAAGGGATTTTCCCGCCAAAAATCACCCCAACAACGAGGCCACGCCCACAATTATTCCCAAATTATGTTTTCCCGCCAAAATGGAGACCCCGCCCACCCCCAAAATTCTCAAAAATCCACAAAAATGTTTCCAAAAAAATCCTCGTGGCCACACCCAACGAAGCCACGCCCCTTTGTTCCCATGCACAATGAAGCCCCGCCCCCAAAGGGATTGACTCCTCCCATTTCCCCCCTAAAATCCCCAGAAATGAAAAATAAAAATTCCCAAAAATCTCCCCAAAATCCCACCTGGGCCACGCCCCGACCACGCCCAATTAAGCCCCGCCCACGAAATGTGAAACCCCGCCCCCAAATGACCACTTTCCTCCAAAAATCCTCCCCAAATTCCCCTAAAAATTAAAAAAAATCCTCCCAAAGTCCTCCCAAATTCCCTCCCAGCCCCACCCAATTAAACCCCGCCCAAAAATCATTAAACCCCGCCCCCCAAAAACAATTTTCCTCCAAAAATCCCCCCCAAATTCCCCTAAAAATTAAAAAAATCCTCCCAAAATCCTCCCTCGACCCCTCCCAGCCCCACCCGGGCCGCGCCCCGACCACACCCAATTAAGCCACGCCCACAAAAGATGAAACCCCGCCCCTAAATGACCATTTCGCTTCAGAAATTCCCCAAAATCCCCCCAAAATTCCCCTAAAATAAAAAAAAAATCCCCAAAAATTCTTCCCCCAAACCCCTCCCAGCCCCAGCCGGGCCCCGCCCCGTGAGGCCCCGCCCCGTGAGGCCCCGCCCCTCACCTCTCATCATGGCGCCGTGGACCCTCCCCCACTGGCGGCGCTGCTCAAGGACCCCAAAAACATCACAGGGACACCAAAAAACTACACAAGGACCCCAAAAACATCACAGGGACACCAAAAAACTACACAAGGACCCCAAAAACATCACAGGGACCCCAAAAACGTCACAGGGACACCAAAAATCTACACAAGGACCCCAAAAAACTACACAAGGACCCCAAAAAACTACACAAGGACCCCAAAAACATCACAGGGACCCCAAAAACGTCACAGGGACACCAAAAATCTACACAAGGACCCCAAAAATGTCACATGGACACCAAAAACGTCATAGGGACACCATGAAAATATGACAGGGACACCAAAAATGTCACAGGGACCCCAAAAAACTACACAAGGACCCCAAAAACGTCACAGGTACACCAAGAGAATATCACAGGGACACGAAAAACATCGTGGGGACACCAAAAAACTACACAGGAATCCCAAAAACATCACGGGAATGCCAAAAACCTCACAGGAACACCAAAAACATCACAGGGACACTGAGAACGTCATGGGGACACCATGAAAATATCACAGGGACACCCAAGAACCTCACACAAACCCCAAAAAACTACACAGGAACCCCAAAAACATTGCGGAGACACCCCGAAAACATCACAGGGACACCAAAAACATCATGGGGACACCGCAAGTCTGCTTCGTGGACCCCAAAAACTTCACAGGACCCCCCAAACCCCCCCAGGACCCCCCAAAGCCGCCCCTCCCCCTCACCTGGCCGTTGGCGCAGACGGTGACGAAGGGGGGGGGCTGCGCCCCCGGGGGGACCCTCAGCACCTCGTCCCGCCGGGACCCCGGCACCCGGCACCCCCCGAAGGCGGCCTGCACCCAGGGCTCGGGGGGGTCCCGCCTGGGGGGGCACAGGGTCACCCCAAAAACCCCAAAATTCCGTTAAAAAGGGAAAAAAAACCCCAAAAACTTTAAAAAACCCCAGAAAATAACCCCAAAAAACCCCAAAATCCCACCCAAAACCTCCCAAAGGCGGCCTGGAGCCAGGGCTCGGGGGGGTCCCGCCTGGGGGGGGCACAGGGTCCCCCAAAAATCCCAAAATCTCCAAATTCCATCGAAAAAAGAAAAAAAAATAAAAATAAAATTAAAAAAAAACCAAACAAACAAAAAAAACCAACAACAACAACAACAAAAAAAAACACTCAAAAAAACCCCAAAACAAAACAAAACAAAACAAAACTTTACAAAATCCACAAAAAAAACCCCTTGAAAATACCCCAAAAACCCCACCTGGGACCTGAAATCCCCAAAAAACCCCAAAAATCACCCCATAAAACCCAAAAAAATCCCCCTCAAAAAAACGCCTCAGAAACCCAGAAAAACCCAAAACAAAACCCTTCAAAAAACCTCAAAATTTCCTCCAAAAAACCCAAAAAAATCCCCCTCAAAAAAACGCCTCAGAAACCCAGAAAAACCCAAAACAAAACCCTTAAAAAAACCTCAAAATTTCCTCCAAAAAACCCAAAAAAATCCCAAAAAAACCCAAAAAAAATCGGCCCCCACAAAACCTAGAAAAACCAAACCCCCAAAATTTCCCCAAAAAAAAAAAAAACCCAAAACCCCAAAATTCCCCCTAAAAACTCAAAATTCTTCCAAGTTTAACAAAAAACCCCAAAATTTCTTCAAAAAAAACCCCAAAAAAAGCCCAAAATGGCCCCAAAATGGCCCCAAATCACCTCAGGAGCTGCTCCCGATAGTCCAGAACCCCCGAGAGGAACCGGGCGGCGAACCTGCACCAGTACAGACCAGTATGGACCAGTACAGACCAGTACGGACCAGTTAGAGACCGGTATAAACCAGTATGGACCAGTACGGACCAGTTAGAGACCAGTATGGACCAGTTAGGGACCAGTACAAACCAGTACGGACCAGTTAGGAATTGGTGACACCAGTCAGAGACCAGCAACACCAGTAAGGGCCAGTGAACTTCCCAGTCCCTCCCAGTATAAACCAGTAACCCCCAGTCCCCCTCAAACCCCTCCCAGTCCCCTCCCAGTACAAACCAGTAACCCCCAAACGCCCTCCCAGTCCCCTCCCAGTCCATCCCAGTCCCTCCCAGTACAAACCAGTAACTCCCAAACCCCTCCCAGTCCCTCCCAGTCCCCTCCCAGTATAAACCAGTAACCGCTAAACCCCCTCCCAGTCCCTCCCAGTTTATCCCAGTCCCCCCCAAACCACTCCCAGTCCCTCCCAGTCCCCTCCCAGTCCCTCCCAGTATAAACCAGTGCCGCCCAATCCCCTCCCAGTACAAACCAGTCCCTCCCAGTGCCCCCAGTCTCACCAGAGCTGCCCCCTCCAGTCCTCCCAGCCGAGCGGGGGCAGCACCAGCCCGGCGCTGGTGTGCACGGGCAGCGGGAGGCGCTCGCTGGAGCCCCAGGGCCACTCCTGAGACCCCAGACCCAAATTGGGGAGGGGTCCCCAAACCCCGCCCCCCCCGGCGCCCCGAAGTCGCGCACGAGGCGCCGCGCGCGCGCCCGCTCCGGGGGGGCCACGAGCGCCTCGAGCGCCCCCAGGAGGCGGCCCAGGGTCACCCCCAGACTGGGCAGGGGGGGGCGCGACCCCCCGGGCACCGCCTGAGCCGGGGAGAAGGGTTAATTAGCGGTAATTAGGGAGTTATGGGTCACTGAACCCGAATTAACGGGGCTCCCCCCCCGTGGGAATGAACGGGAACCCCCCAATTAAAGGGGTTCGGGTGATTAATGGGACCCCCTCCCCAATTAAAAGGGTTCGGGTGATTAATGGGACCCCCCCCCAATTAATGGGAACCCCCAATTAATGGGAACCACCTAATTAACGGGGATATCGGCAATTAACGGGGATATTGGAAATTAATGGGGTATCGGTAATTAACGGCATATTGGAAATTAACGGGATGTCGGTAATTAACGGGGTATCGGTAATTAATGGGATATTGGAAATCACCGGGGATTTCGGTAATTAACGGGGTGTGGGTAATTACCAGGGATATCCATAATTAACGGGATATCAGCAATTAACGGGATATCAGCAATTAACGGGATATCAGCAATTAACGGGATGTGGGGGGAATTAACGGGGATACCAACAATTAACGGGGAAATCCCTCATTAACGGGCTGTGGGTGACGAACCCCCGTCGCTAATTACGGGGCTGTGTTTAATGAGGGGGGGTCCCCAGGAGCCGGCCCAGGGTCACCCCCAAACTGGGCGGGGGGGGGCGCGACCCCCCGGGCACCGCCTGAGCCGGGGAGAAGGGTTAATTAGCGGTAATTAGGGAGTTATGGGTCACTGAACCCGAATTAACGGGGCTGCCCCCCCGTGGGAATGAACGGGAACCCCCCAATTAAAGGGGTTCGGGTGATTAATGGGACCCCCTCCCCAATTAAAAGGGTTCGGGTGGTTAATGGGACCCCCCCCTCAATTAATGGGAACCCCCAATTAATGGGAACCACCTAATTAACGGGGATACCGGCAATTAACGGGGATACCGGCAATTAATGGGGTATCGGTAATTAACGGGGATATTGGAAATTAACGGTGTATTGGTAATTAATGGGGTATCGGTAATTAATGGGATATCAACAATTAATGGGGAAATCCCTCATTAACGGGCTGTGGGTGACGAACCCCCGTCGCTAATTACGGGGCTGTGTTTAATGAGGGGGGGTCCCCAGGAGCCGGCCCAGGGTCACCCCCAAACTGGGCGGGGGGGGGCGCGACCCCCCGGGCACCGCCTGAGCCGGGGAGAAGGGTTAATTAGCGGTAATTAGGGAGTTATGGGTCACTGAACCCGAATTAACGGGGCTCCCCCCCCGTGGGAATGAACGGGAACCCCCCAATTAAAGGGGTTCGGGTGATTAATGGGACCCCCTCCCCAATTAAAAGGGTTCGGGTGGTTAATGGGACCCCCCCCTCAATTAATGGGAACCCCCAATTAATGGGAACCACCTAATTAACGGGGATATCGGCAATTAACGGGGATATCAATAATTAACGGGGATATCAGCAGTTAATGGGATGTGGGGGGAATTAACGGGGATACCAACAATTAACGGGGAAATCCCTCATTAACGGGCTGTGGGTGACGAACCCCCGTCGCTAATTACGGGGCTGTGTTTAATGAGGGGGGGTCCCCAGGAGCCGGCCCAGGGTCACCCCCAAACTGGGCGGGGGGGGGCGCGACCCCCCGGGCACCGCCTGAGCCGGGGAGAAGGGTTAATTAGCGGTAATTAGGGAGTTATGGGTCACTGAACCCGAATTAACGGGGCTCCCCCCCCGTGGGAATGAACGGGAACCCCCCAATTAAAGGGGTTCGGGTGATTAATGGGACCCCCTCCCCAATTAAAAGGGTTCGGGTGGTTAATGGGACCCCCCCCTCAATTAATGGGAACCCCCAATTAATGGGAACCACCTAATTAACGGGGATATCGGCAATTAACGGGGATATCAATAATTAACGGGGATATCAGCAGTTAATGGGATATCGGAAATTAACGGGGTACCAGTAATTGATGGCATATTGGCAATTAACGGGGATATCGGTAATTAATGAGGTGGGGGAAATTAACGGGGATATCCATAATTAACGGGGTATCTGCAATTAACGGGATATCGGCAATTAACGGGATATCAGCAATTAACGGGATTGAGCCGGGGGACAGCGTTAATTAGCGGGGAAGGGGTAATTAAGGTCATTAACGGGACCCCCCCCACCCCGTGGGAATGAACGGGGTACGGGGAATTTACGGGAACCCCCCCAATTAAAGGGGTTCGGGTGATTAATGGGACCCCCCCTCAATTAATGGGAACCCCCAATTAATGGGAACCACCTAATTAATGGGGAATGGCTAATTAGGGAGTTATTGGTCATTGAACCCGAATTAACGGGGCTGCCCCCCCCCCCCGCGGGAATCAATGGGAAAACCCCCCC